TTAAATGGTAATCATGAAAATTTAATGATAAATGATAATCATAAAAATTTATGATAAAATAAAAAATTATTGATACAATCATTTTAATAAATTAAATAATTTATAATTAATTTTATAAAGGTGAATAAATTACAAATAATTTTATAAATGTAATAAATTAAACTATTTATAAAATTATTTATATCAATAATAATAAATTACATATATTTTAATAATTGACACACGAATTCAACATGCTTATAAATCGGAAAAAAGTTACAATAATTTTATAAACAGGAATAAGTTAGTATCATTTTATATAAATTAATGGTATAATATAATAATAATATTATATTATTATTTAATATTATAATTTTTGATTGACAATAATAAATTCATTTTAATTAGTTAGACATTAAGATAATAAATTTAATATATATCACTAATACACGATATTTATTTATAAATGTAATTAACTAAGAGACACATATTTACCACTGTTGAATAAATAAATTTAAGATGATATGGTAAATATTTATTTTTACAATTATTTTTATAAACTTAAATAACTTACAAATATTTTTATAAACGAACAAAATTCAAATATTGATGTAATTGTTTTTAACATGAATAAGTTAAAATGTTTTTATAAATTGTCACACGGGTTAAAGACACTTATAAACGAGAAAAAGTCTACATATTAATATAATTAATTTTACAAACTAAAAATAAATTATAATAATTTTTATAAACATGAATAAATTATATATATTTTTATAAACCGGAAAATTCAAGTATTGATACAATTATATTTATAAAAGAGTATAAGTTTCATATATTTTTATAAATAGACACACGCGTTCATTTTTATAAACGAGAATAATTTAAAATTATTTTTATAAATGAGAAATTCAAATTTGATAAATGATTATATATTGTAATTATATTAATATTAACCAACTGAGTACATGAAATAAATTCACGGGTAGAATAAATGTATCTATGACATACCAGATAATTGAAGTTAAAGAAGTGAATGTACTATTTTAAATGACAATTAAGTTATATTTTTAAATACAAATTAGAAAATAAATTCATCTAAAATAAATTTCATTCATTAAATAAATATAGAAAATAATATACAATAGTTTTATCTATAAATTTTATTTATTTTTTATGTTCTTTTTAAAAATAATTGTAATTTAACGGAAAACTGTTATACATTATAGGTTGTAAAAAAATATGTAAATATGATATAATATAAAAGTTTTAAAACTGAAATTTGACGGGAGATGTCATACATTTTTAATTTGAAAAAATGGATTAATATATAAAATATGTTTAATAAATTTTTAAAATTAATTCATTTGGATTCAACTGAAGTTCGTTAACTCACGTAGATGTGAGCACATATAATATAAAAGTATAAATTTGACGGGAGTTGTCATATATTTTAGGTTTAAAAAAATGGGTTGATATCTAAAATAGATTTAATAAATTTTTAGAACTAATTCATTTAGATTCAACTGGGTTTGTTAAATCATCTTAATTCACGGGTAGATGAGAACGCATCTATGAGATACTGGCTATAGATTGTTAATTTTAATATTCATCTTTTAAATCTTATATAATTGAAGTTAGTGAATAGTCTGTATGATTTATTATAAATACATATTAATGCTTAAAAAACAAGTGCATATTATTAGTCTATATTCATTAGTCATGCATGTAAAGAACATAGATAACATCTTTTACATCCCTCGAATATCTATGTCACATTTTGAGCCACCGTGACCATTTAAGTTGATTAGGAGAAAATTCCCAATTATTGTCTCTAACGCAATGACAATTAATAAATCCCAAGGCCAATCACTTGATATCGTTGGATTGTATTTGCCTACTCCTGTTTTTAGTAATGGACAATTGTTAGTAATGGACAATTGTGTGTATCCATTTCAAGAGTTACAAGCAAAAGTTGTCTTAAAATCTTAATACATGATAATGAGAATGTATCATCTTCTATCACTACAAATGTTGTATACAATGAAGTTTTTCAATTGCTTTGTTAATGGGTAAGTACATGACAACACAAATGTTTTTGTTTATAAATTATTTGCATATTTGGTGTCTGATTTTTGCACAAATTATCATGCAGACTAATGAGTTGAAAACATCAATGGAAAGCAGGTTGCTTCATATCTAAAGTTCAAATACGATATTGTTATCATTAATGTTATCGATGGAAAGCAAATTAATTTGATACACTAATTTTTTTTCTAATTGATTGAACTTTGGTTAAATCATTTTAATATTTTAAATTTGAATAATATATACGAATGATCTATTACAATTCAAAGTTAGTTCTATATTATATGAAATTCGGACAGGACCCATATGATACCACGGATTTTTTAATAGTTGTATATCTAAAATCAAAACCATTGAACGAGCTCGCTCTCCTTAAAACAAAATTACAAAAACGCCTAAGGACATATGAAAACAAAACCACTGCTCTTATTCCATCTGAGTTGTGCACAGACCCGCCGCCATCTTACACGTACTCCAATCCTCCGCTTTGCATGCAGATCCGCGGCGATGCCGCCACGCTCATTGCAATTGTTTGAGTTAAGAAGGTATTCGCAATGTATATCATAGGTTCTCGATGGTACTGTACTAATTCCTTCTGCTTTACACACAGATCCGTAGCCACCTTATATGGACTCCAATCCTTCCGCTTTGCCTGCAGATCCGCGACGCCGCCGCCATGCTCACCGCATTTGTTTGAGTTAAGAAGGTATTCACAATGTATCGTAAGTTCTCGATGGTACTGTACTAATTCATTCTGCTTTACGCACAGATCCGCAACCATCTTACACGAACTCCAATCCTTGCGCTTTGCGTGCAGATCCGCGGCGACGCCGCCAGGCTCACTGCATTTGTTTGAGTTAAGAAGGTATTCACAATGTATATTCTAAGTTCTCGATGGTACTGTACTAATTCCTTCTGCTTTACGCACAGATCCGCAGCCACCTTATATGGACTCCAATCCTTCCGCTTTGTGTGCAGATCCGCCATGGTCAATTATATGTTGCAATTTCAAGAGTTAAGAGCAAAAGTGGGCTAAAAATCCTAATTCATGACAAGGAGAATGTACCGTGTTCTACTACTACTAATGTTGTGTACAAGGAAGTCTTTCAAGCACTTTGATAGTTGGTAAACTTTATATCTTATACTTTACGATTCAAATTAAAAATCTATTTTGAATTAAAATATATAGTATGTACATTTTCCATGTATTTCAAGAAGTATATAATTTTTCCTATTTGTTCATGCAAACATGATTTGTTGATAGGACCGACGCTTGCTACAAATATGGAGTTAAATGCCAACATGGTTTACATGAGACATATACTCAACTGAAAACATGGTAACATACTTAATAATTTAATAATCTATAAATGTAATGTGAATCCAGACGAGACCCGTGCGATAGCACGGGTTTATTACTAGTTCATTAAAAAGATATTTGTAATAGTTAGTAATGATTAATTTATTCATTTTTGTTGTAGCCAAAATTCAATTAAAAAAATATGATTATGCCATTATTCATTATCCACTTTGTTTTTAAAGAATAAAAACAAAAATATTGATTTACCTGGATATCTAATTAAAGAAACAAAATATTTGTAAAAAATATAATTACACAATTAATATTTAGATTCAAATATAATAATTGAGATATAATTAACTCCGAATTATTCTAAAAGAATACAATAGAAAAATATTTAAAAATATTTAACATAACTCTAAAAAATAAGTTTTTATTTAAAATTTAAAAAAGTATATAAAACACTAAATACAAATCACAATATAAAAATTATGGTTAAAAAATATTTTAATTGAACATTTAAAATAATATAATAGTATTATCTAACTATTACTGTTCTTTCATAGGATATTTTTTTTTATAAATGGAAGATTGAGAATGGAAGAGAGAGAAGGGAATGTGGACTTTGTTGTATTTAAAAGGGAGTTAAATTTGATTAAATTTATTTTCTATTTTATTTTATTTTTAACTATATAATATTTTTATTGGTCTTTTTTTTTTTGGTTTATTATAAAGATAAATAAATTAACTTTTTCTAAAAAAATATGATGATAAATATTTACTAATTTATACTATTAAAAACTTAATTATAAAAGAATTAAAAGGCTAAATACCAGACCGAAATAATATAAAATAACTTAGTTAATATTTAAAAATATTTACTAACCTAAATGGTATTTAAAATAATGTATACTAATTCAGTTGGTATAGACAAAAAAATAAGTTGATGATAAATAATTAAAATTATATATGAAATAAAACAAATATAAACAATTTTTTTTGTGTATTTAAAGTTGTTGAATTAATTTGTAGCAAAACAAATTTGTTGAAGAAATTGTTACTAAAAATTCACTAGCTATTCAAATTTATATTATCTAAAATAGTCCAAAATATTTTTCAATTTCTACTTCTATTTTTGTTGAAAAATTAAGAGAAAAAATATTTAATTTTTAATAAAACAAATATAACTTATTAAATAATTTTTAGGGAAAATTAAGTAAGTGGGAGTACATGTCCCCAATGTCATATAAGTTATCAGAACAAAATAATTTAAACTTGGATCTTAATATATATTTTATATATATAAAATTAAAAAATTATTTAAGATAGCGAGTAATGGCGTAATTTATTCTACTTTTGTGAAAATATGATTATGCCATATCCACAGTAATAAATAAAAAAAAGTTACCAAAATTGGATAACTAATTAATAAAACATGATTACAGAATTAATATTTAGATTCCAATGTAATAATTGAGATATTATTTTCAAAATATTTAATCAATACTAACACACTCATTGTATATATAAATACAATGGATTAGTTGTGTAAACTCAAGAAATCAAAAAACACTCTCCATATTTAGAAAAAGAAATCATCTTTTTAATAATACATTCATCATTACAAATTAATATGATTTTCTTGTTCTTCCTTGTTTTGCTTATTGGGTTGCAGACATCAGTAAGAGGTATACATTTTCTATCCTAGTCTCCCTCAACTATTGATCTTGATTTTTTAAAAAGGTGACTTTATATATCAAATAAAGAAAATAAAATATGTACTCTCTTGTAAAATAATTATCAACATGTATTCCTTGAAATCACACTTAAATTTTAAAATTATATATCAATTAAAGATCACAAACATATATTTAACTATGTTATTATTTTTCTCAAATGCAGCACAAACAATAGGAGTATGCTATGGACAAGTAGCAGACAACTTGCCTCCAAAGGATCAAGTAATAAAACTTTTCCAAACAAAAAACTTTGGAAGAATGAGAATCTTCAATCCAGATCAAGCAACCTTGGAGGCTCTACGAGGTTCCAACATCGAACTTGTCATCGGAGTCGCGAATGAAGACATCAAATCAATTGCCAATGATATTTCATCAGCTAATGCTTGGGTTCAAAACAATATCCTAAAATTCTCTCAAGATGTCAAGTTTAAGTACATTGCTGTTGGAAACGAAATAGATCCTGCTAACAATGATCAAGCACAATTTGTTCCCCTTGCAATGAAGAACATTGATGCAGCACTAGCATCTGCCAACTTGAAATCTCAAATCAAAGTTTCAACTGTTATATATATGGGTTTGTTAGGAAGTTCGTATCCTCCTTCAGCAGGAGCGTTCAATGAAGCTTCAACTTCATATATGACACAAGTAGTTAGTTTTCTTGTGGAGAGTGGTGCGCCGGTTCTTGCAAATGTGTATCCCTATTTTTCTTATATTGGTAATATGAAAGATATTTCTCTTGATTATGCTCTCTTTAAGCAACCAGGGAACAATGATGCTGGTTACCAAAATCTATTTGATGCACAATTGGATGCAATATATGCTGCTCTTGCGAAAGTCGGAGGGTCGAATTTGAACATAGTTGTGTCTGAGAGTGGATGGCCATCTGCAGGTGGAGATGGAGCCTCTATTGAGAATGCTGGAACATTTTATACTAATCTGATTGCTCATGTCAATGGTGGTAAAGGGACTCCAGCCAAACCTGGTCAAGATATTGAGACTTATTTGTTTGCTATGTTTGATGAATATCAAAAGCCTGGTGCAGAAACTGAAAAACACTTTGGTCTTTTCCATGCTGATCAATCACCTAAATATCCAATATGATAGATAGTTTAAGAATTACTTGTATTTAAATTCTAGTTTATTTTGAATTATTGTCTTATTTATGCACATGTATTGAAATCTAATTAAATAAATGAAAGTTGATATATTGGTTATTCGTGTCCATGTATTTGTGAGTGATTGGGAGAGTGTGTTATGGATATGACCATTAGGATTTTGATTTCATCATTTATTTACAACACTCACAAAATTAGGCATGCTAATAAGAGCCCATCTTCTCTTAATTTTGTTTAGATTGAAAATCAATTTATCATTTATTTCTGTTTTATTCTTAATGTTAATAATAACTATTATGATAATAGATTAATTGACGATGTGATCTCTAATATTGTGAATGACTAAATAAATGTTATGCTTACTAGTTTTTTTTTATAAACAATGAAAACTAGGATATAAATAAGACGTATAAGTGGTGTGCTCATCCATTACAATAAAAAAACCACAAACACACAAAAAAACAACCAAAACAAGAGCTATCCAACAAAAACGAACCAACAACCTACACTCAATAAGCCCTTCGATCAACATTTTAATCAAAACAAGAAATCATTATATCTTTCTTATAAAAAACATTAAACTATTCTTAAGCTAAAAGCTTTATCATGGACAAGACATATACTAGTCTAAGAATGATGCCTATAAATAGAATTGAATTCCTACATGATCAAATGATCCAACCAGTAAAAGACCAAAAAACCATAAAGAACCCGAAAAAATGGAATTAAAGTCTTGTAACCTACCCAACAAAGAGTTTGCAAGAGAAGAAGCATCAACTTCAATTCAACTATAAAGTTGAGACCAAATATTATTAGAAAGAGAGCACTCACAAAACAAATGCTCCACACCCTCCTCTTCCATAAAGCATAACGGAAAAACTATATTGTGGGAGTCAACAATAATCCCTCTCTTACCCAACTCCACCCTTGTAAGAAAATTATTAAAAACTAATCGCCAACCAAAAATGAGAACTTTGCTCGAAACTTATTGAAGGTGTGAGAAACTAGAAAAAGGAGGGGTTGAATTGTGTTTCAGGATTTAAAACAAATTGTTCCCAAGACAAAACAAAGAACACAAGAACAAAAATAAATGACACAATTATTTTTATCCTGGTTCATTGTTAACAAAGTTAATACAGACCATCCGTCAAAGTGATTTTGCCTTCAAAACAAGGACTTAATCCATTATAACCGAACCGATTACAAACACAACAAAGACCAACTGTCAATGTTGCAAACCACAAAGACTACCCGTCAATGTTTAGGTGATAATTAGATTATCTTAGGTGATCTACTTGTTAGTAGCTATTTTGTCAAATTTGTTTAAAATACAATAAATTTGTTTAAAAATGAAAAAAATTAAATATTAATAATGCTCATGGCTACCTGATTTTTTGATTAAGAGAAATATGCCATGATTTTTTAAGACTAGACTTTGGAAGTTTAGAAGATCTTTTGATATGAGAAGTATCATATTCTAAATTTATCCTATTCTTTCATCCAAATCATCTGACTTATGCATTTCACATATTTCATGTACATTACCTTTTCATTAGGTCATTAAACATATCATGCATTATCAATAAACTTGGCATTGGGATCAAGGATTTTAAAGATTAGGGTTTGCCTTTGTTGGTGTTGTCAGGTGGATTTCAAGGTTTTGCTTTAATTACCATGTGGATCATCATCACTTGGATTCACCTCACAATTTGGGTTGGTTCATCATTGGAGGATACAAGTCTTTGGTTCATGATTTATTGCTTGGGCTACAAGTTATCTCATTTAATTTGGTACAAGGACTTGATATGAATCATCGATTTAGTATAAGGTAGATGGATAAGAGCTTTGACTTTGGTCAAAGTTAACCTTTAAAAGTTGATTTTTTGACCAAAGTAATACTTGAATTTTGATCTATCTTACGCCAGGGATTCAAGTTGCAATTGGAGAAGATATTTGAAGGTTCAAATTGAACAAATGGATCGAATAAAAGATCACTTCATATTTTTATTTGGAGAAGAAATTCAAATTTCATTACATGTCTAACATCCAATTTATCATCACATCACCAAGAAAAATTACACAAATGACACATTATTGACTAAAGGTCCACATGGAGCGCTTGGTAGATTTTCATCCCATCTCACGGTGCATTCAAAATTGAAATAAGAGAGCTTAGAAATTACAAATGAAACGTATGGAAGAAAAGAAGATTTTGAAATCCAAATTGCAAAAAGGAGCGAGAGTATTCCTTTAAAAATTCTTAAACCATTACAACATCACTCATAGTACATTACCATTACACTATTGGAAGGATTACAAAAAATTACAACTTCTTGACCAAAGTCAACATACTACTCCTAGACCCATTACCCTAGACTTATTCCATTTTCTAATCTTAATTTTGTCTCCATTATGCATCATGTGTTGCTTTCAAGCCATGCCTAAGGTCATGTTTAATATCCAATCAACAACCCTGCATACCAAAACAACACTTTTCAAAACTCAAGCAAAGAAAAGAATAAAATTACAAGTTGAAAGCTATTTCCATACAATCGTGAAACTCCCTGCATGAACAAGACAACCTTCATATTATCATTACAACATAAATAAACCAACTCACATCCAAATGAAATATAATTGAACTAATTACAAAGCATTCAATTAACAATAACCAGCTTAGCCAACTAAGTAACAATTAACTACCCTAATAAAAACATGATCTCACTAATTCAGAACCAAACTACTACCTGTTTTAAACCGATCCATTCCAAAACAAAAAAATAAAAATTGAAGCCAATTAACTTGTAACAGAAAAACCAGATTAGAAACAATACATAAGCAGTTCACTAATTATCCAATCCCATAACAAAGATAGTTCATCATTTTTCGCACCAGTTCAAGTCATGAATGAATTCTCAAGTCAACTAACCTGATTCAAAGCTTTAACATCACTAACCAACTCCAGCTTAACCAAACTTACAACTCATAATAGAAATTCAGAAACTCCAACTAAATTTATCAGATTTAGTCCTCGTCGTTCTATAAGAAAAAGATTGGTTCTACATCAAACCTTATGTTTTGATGATAACTTTACATGTTATCTTTAAGAACAATTATGTATAATTTTACCTATTCTCTCTAGTGCGTGGCTTTTTCTATACATGTTGTGACTCTAGTAAGAAGGCATGTAACGTCACAAGGTTCTGAACTCAATCCCCTGGAAGAATATCTTTCGTGTGTTACAAGTTAACTCAAGATTAAAGATTACGTCTTATGCAACGGTTCTAAGGAATTTTAGTAAAAGATCTTCTAATTGTACTTATTCAAGGAAGCTTTGGAGGCCTTCTAAAGCTTTACTTCTATTGTTCCAAGTTCTGAAGATGTTGAAGACAAGGTTCTGCTAACCAGTTCTGAAGATCTGAAAACATTATTTTAAAGACCAAGTTCTGAAGACTGAGAAGGCAAGAGTTCTCTGAACAAGCCCTGTAAGGTTATAATTACTTAGGCTATGGAGATACATAGTTCTGATCCTTCTACAACATGCTTCATCAACAAACATATCAGAAGCCTCTAAATATATAGAAGACAAAGATCAAGACTAAGGGATTGTGTGTGATGGTGAGCATAAAAATACAAAAGTACACTGTGACCTCTACTCTCTAGAGTGACGCAAGGACAACCTTTTTTGTATTATTGTCTGCCAGTCTCACCATGACTGTTGGGAACAATACAACTGTGTTTGTGATTCCTATTCTACCCTCCAATGAATCTCTTCTTTTCAGCTATAAAATAGTACTTGGAAGAATTTTAAATCAACGAATGAGTTCTAAAAAAATACACTAAACCGCTGCACAAAAACTCTATAGAGAAATCTTTTGTATAGTTTTGTAAATAAGCAAGGAGTTGTTGTTCGTATCTTACTATCAACACTTTTGTGTTGTTGTAATTAAACATTGTGTAATCTGCTTGTGTAGAAGCATCTTTGTATACACATATTTGTAATCATGTGTTATTGATAGGTTACTTGAGAGACTCTGTGTAGTATGAATTCTCAAGAAGACTTTGGTTACGGTCATATTGGTTTGCAATAAGGATCAAAAAACTTATTTGGGGTACCAATAGGGTTAATCCGACTTATTGTGATTGTCTGTAATTTGGTTGATTATAGTGGATTAAGTCCTTGTGTATAAGGAAAATCACCTTGCGGAGTGGACTGGAGTAACTTAGTTAAAAATGACCCAGAATAAAAATAACTGTGTTCATCTATTTTTATTCACTTGTTATCTTTGTGTTTTGAGTTGCAAAAAGATTATATTTGGTGCAACCCAATTCAAACCCCCCCTTATTGTGTTTCTCGCACCTTCAATAAGCATCAGAGCTTCAGTTATGGTATTTATTTCTATAAAACACTTAAACGTGTCAGATAAAATTCCAGATGAGTTTTAGAAACATTATGGTTGATCTTGTTCCACTACCACCTGCTCCAGTTTCTAATAAAGATGATTGCAATGCTAAACCTCTCATTTTTATGGTGAAAAGTTTGAGTACTAGAAAGATAGACTAGAAAGTTTCTTTCTAGGTCATGATGTTGATCTTTGGTATATGTTAGTTGATCTCTACGAACATCTCACAGATGCAAAATGGAAAGCATCTTGAGAGGAAAGCTATGTCTAATCAACAAAAGAAGGATTGTAAGAATCATCATAAAGCAAGAACCATCTTGCTGAATGTTATTTCTTATACTGAGTATGATAAGATCATAAATAGAAACTCATCTAAGTCTATATTTGACTCTCTCAAAATGGCTCATGAAGGAAATGATTAAGTCAAGGAAATCAAGGCTTTGGCCTTGATTCAGAAGTATGAAGCCTTCAAGATGGAGGATGATGAAATAGTTGAGATGATGTTCTCAAGGTTTCAAACCTTAGTTGCAGGACTGAGAGTTATGAACAAAGGGTATTCAACCATATATCATATGAAGAAGAT